CCCTGTTACTGTCTTTTTTTTTTTTGTTTTAATTTATTTTTTTAACCCTGTTACTGTCTTGTGAAGGCACTACAGATGAACATTTCATTGTGGCTATGCTGGACAAGTGAAAGTGGTGTGATTATTTGGCAACATGGAGAGTGAGACTGAGCCTGATGATTGACATGCCTGGGCTGGATGTAGTTTCTCCTGCCAGTGGTAACCACGACATCGTCATCGACTACAACACCTCGCCGGAGTCTTTTGATGTCGGTCACTGTATCCAGTCGTCTGTGAGTAATGTAAATGTAATGAATTACCTCCACTTTATGGATTCCCCTCCACATGTGATTGACAATCACCCCCCAACTTCTCAGTCGTCTAGCCCTTGAGAGGTCCAATACAACTCCAGCAAATTACTCCACCCCCAATCAACGTCCATCAGCTCTGAGACAGTTAAGATGGTTCGCTTGGCAGGTTGATCCAAAGATTCAGAACTCTGAGCATTTCCATACCTACAACCATCTTCACCCGAACAGAACGCCCGGTCATTATCAAGACAGAAAGTTGCCCCAAATGCTGCTGTGATGACCAGGCTTTCTATTTGGGTGAAGATGGTAGCCCAGTCATTATAAGGGAATTGCAGGGATTCCAAAACAATGAGCCAGCAAAAGGCCTGGCGGTCCATGCCTCTGTGGGAACTAGAAATAATCTAGGGGTAACTACGCCGGAGTCACAAAAACGAGTTATAATTGCACTATGGTTCAAGATAGAGTTTGCAATTGCAGTTCGGGCACCCTACCTGGCCAGAAAGCTGGGTTGTACACAGTGCCTGAACTGCAATTGCAAACTGTATCTTGGCCCATACTGCAATTATTACTCGTTTTTGGGACTCCCGCGTAGTTTCCCCAATAATGGAACATCTTTCTTTTGTCTTATAAGATATAATGTTTTTCAAAGTTTGAAAAGCAGAGCAAATTATCCAACTAAACCAAGGCAGGTCTTTAATGCACAAAAGGTACAGAGGAGTCTCCGGAGATCATCATAATGATTGTGTTCAAGCCTCAAGGCTTCAAGCCAGTTACTGATGGAAGGGGGCACTGGCATGTCGTTTTGATTTTTGTTTTGCAGATTTGAGTGAGACCCCGCAGCGCAGTGCCTTGAGTCAACTGGAAGCCTGCTGTGCCACTCTTGTCATATCACAGCAGTAACACACTCAGAGCAGGAGTGGATTCTAAGTACCTACAGTGAAGTTCGACACAGGGCTCAGACTGATTGCAGCATGTTGCTCGCATTTTGCTTCCTAAAATGAGCTGATGTAAATGACCACAATGAAAATCACTTAGGCACTATTAGTACCAGTGAATGATTACAGGAGGTGATCTGGTTGCCGATCCTGGCAGCACGTGTTCACTGCTACCAGTACCTGCGTGTTGCAGAAAAGTTACTCTCTCTATCCTTACTTCACCATCTGTCTGTCTGTCTGTCTGTCTGTCTGTCTGTCTGTCTGTCTGTCTGTCTCTCTCTCTCTCTCTCTCTCTCTCTCTCTCTCTCTCTCTCTCTCT